GCCTTAAACGGACAAAGGACGCGGCAAGTCAGCGCAGCCGGGGTCTTCCGCTGCTCCTCGGTGCAGCCCCCTTCCCCCCAGGTGCGCAGATGGAGCTTTGTCCCGAGGCACCGCTCCGAGGGCACAACGGGGAGGGGGGGCTGCCACGACTTGGCTCCCTCTCCCATTCCCTGGGCAAGACTGAGGAGCAGGCGAGGCTGCGTGACAAAGCTGAGGAAAGGAGCGAGAGAGCGCTCGTTGAAGAGGCCCAAATTTCTCTTAAAAACCAGACGTGGCCAGGCTGAAAGTGCACGGGAGCATTTGCGGTTTTGCAGGTGCCCATCTCTAGCTTAGCATGGCCGTTCACGAACACCCAAGTTGAGTACGTGGGAATACATCTTGGCCTAGCGTACAACCCTGTAAAGGAACTGCCTGCTGGAGATGCATGTTTTCAAGGGCCAGGGAAAGAAAGCTTGAGGTTTGTCTTCCTTCTCAGAGCACAGGCATCCCAAGACTAATTTTTGGGAGCGGAAAATAAAAGTTCATGCTAAAAATAGTATGTTTTAAGGCTTGGAAAATGGAAGGAGAACAAATGTCCCAACAAAGGTCTCAGTGTGAAGCAGTTTTGAAGAGCAGGAGTTGCGCTGGAGGTGCTCTCCCCATCTATGCTGTATCTACAGTGAAAGCCACTGTTAAAAGATGCTGTGTTTGGCTAATAGATGGCATCTCCTTTAATGCTCTTCTCTGTACTGAGAATAAATGAGCTTTGTGTTCCAAGTAATGAATGGTTCAGCCATTCTGCTACCCCAGGATGCTTGAAGTGGGAACGTGCAGGCAGAGGGAGAAATCGATGCCCCCGCGCCTTGGCCAAGCTCTGTGGGGCTGAACGGTCCCTGGCTGTGAAGCACAAAGCGTTGAGAAGCTCCTGTGAGATCCCACACCATGCATCGTCCCCCCAGGCGAGGGCTAGGAGCTTCTCACGGAAGAGGAGGGCTACCAAGAGCGCCTGCCTGAAGCAAAGGGAAAGAAAATACAAGCCGCGTTGTCAGGAAGAGGTAATAAACACTCCCGTTCGTGGAGAACAATGCAGCAGTGCAATGTTTTATTGAAAAAAAAAAAATACTCGTCTCACTTGATACCTCAGAAGACTGCATCGCAACGTTGGCAGGCCACGCCATGGGACAGCCACATTGGGGAGGCCACCGGTGCTGGGTGCCCCCTGCCCCCCCCACCACGTGGGTCCCGGAGCCCTCCCCTCGCGCTCCTGGGGTCTCCCAGTGGCTAATGACTGGCGGCGAGGAGAGGAGAGAGTTTGCCCAGGTAGGCTTAATGCCCTGCTTCCCACCACAGCATGGCTGGCTCAGTCTGGCTCCTAGTCACCCCCGAGCTCCCTGGGGACAGCAGTTTCCTCAAGCACAGGACTTGCTCTTAACCTGCTTTTATTTTCCTTTTTGGTTTTTGTTTTGTTTTGTTTTTAAAAAAAAAAAGCCACCCCATATCTTTGCCCTTTTGAAGAGTCCAACGTACGATTATAGTGCAAGAGGGCTTGGTACAAGTGAGCATTACCAGCATGCCGTGGGGGGACAGTCCTCCCCTATAAACATCATTGTAGGATTAAAAGAACATCGTATCTCCCGAGAGAAGCGGTAGTGGGTCACCATGAAAGACCTTTCAAACCAACCCACTTAAAAACAAGGTCAGAAAAGTTTCTAAACAATCAAATACATTCACTTTAAAAAAAACAAAACAAAACAAAAAACAAAAACAACAACAAAACCCCCCCCATTTAAGAACAAAAACTGTTGAGATGGCCCCTTTTCCCCCCGCCCTCCCTCACCCTGCAAACACTTACATATGCTGCAACTACAAGCTGCTCCGTGATGGGAGGCAGCGAGGAATGACCAAACACGGCAGGAGATGCAGAAGGAATCGAGTTCTGGTGACAGGCACTTAGTGGGGCTTGGGAGGGCAGCGACAGAAGTATCTCAGGGCCCGGCTCCCTCTGCAGCGGGCAGGATCGCTCCCCAGGGAGCACCTGTGCCCCTTTCCTCCCCCCCTCCCAAGACACCAAACCATGGTTTCCTACAGCAGAGAGGGGAACGCCTGCGCCAGAGACACCAGGCTTCTGGGAGCTGCTGGCAGCAGAGGAGTTTGGAAAGAGAAGGGCGGAACGTGGCCACACTCCCCGTCCTCCCCCTGGCAGGAGGGGACGAGAGGGCGAAGCAGCCCAGCGGGAGGTGAGCGGTTCCCTTCCTGCCCCAGCCCACAGTATGGCTGGAGGAGAGCGCTTTGTGGGACGAGAAGGGGGCTGCACACACAAGCAAAGAGCTCCGTGCCTCCGAGCCAGTTTCCTCAAGGTAAGGCATGGAGAGAATGCAGCAGAGAACGGCAAAGAGATGCCCTACGGGGATCCCGGCAAGGGAGCGAGGCTTTTCTGCCCTGGCACTGCATCAGCATCTGCCTGCTTTAGGGATGCACCAAGAGCAAGCCCCAAAGCTCCCTGCCCAGGATGATCTCCTGCCCCTCTAAGCCCGCTTCTGCCCAGCCAGGGGAACTGAACTACCTAGGAGTGCTGTGCCACAAACTCTGAGCTACACGGATCATCATTAAAAAAATTAAAAGATAATGAGATCTCTCCCTCTCCTCCCTTCATGCTCTCCGGGATTTTTGGGGTGAGCCAGGCCCGAGTCGGTGAAGTCCCTCAAGTGAGCAGTCCCAGCCTGGTCAGGTGTCACATGTGGAAAGACAATGTACAAGGAACCTATTCACAGCCTCCCCAAAAGCCGCTCAAGTTCTCCTGCAGCCAAGGTCTACGGTAACCCTTGGGCAGCCTTGGCCTCCTCCGAGTTTGGGAAACGCTGCAGCAGGATGCAAGATTAAATTTTTTTTATTTTTTTTTTTTTAAAAACAAGTGTGCAAAGCATCCCAAGCCCTTTGCTAGCTATTGGTTTGGCTCAAAAGCAGTGCGTGGCTTCTCCTGTGGGGTGGAATGTCGTCCCACATGCCCCAGACCCATGCTCACAGAGAGGACATGAAGGCTATTCCAGTCAAACCTACCTGACCGTCTGGAGATGAAATCAGTGTTAAGGCAGCAAAGTAGCCTCTCCCCTGTTGGGGAAGCATTGCTCCTGCTGACGATTTCTCGCAGAAGGTACGTGGTCACAACCACTCTACTGGAGGGATTTGGGAAGGCCGCCCAGTTGCCCACACTGAGAAATACCTAATGCTTTGGGAAACAGCTGCCTCCCGGTTACCTTAATCCAGATCTACCTCTTAAGCCAGCACAAACTCCTCCAGTCCAGCAAAGCTGACACTGCTCCCTCCTGCCAATGCTGGGCTATGGCCTTAGTGCCTCCTGGCCTGTTGGGTCAGGCACGGTGTAGGAAACCATGGTAGGGACATTCACCGGCAGCTAGAAAGGGTGATTGAAAATTCAAGTATGCTCTCCTCAGCACGTGGCCAAGGCAGGCGTCGGAAACCCCGGACTGGCACGAGGAGTCGTGCGGATGTCATTGACAACCCCACTGCTGGGCATTCTTTGCACACCCCACTGTCTTCCCAGCTGAATGTCTGTCTGCGCTGGCACTGCATGGCCACGCAGAGGTCCACAGATACAATGTGCATCTGTAAATGCTAAAAATAATAAAAAGTGCAACGACGTCAGCTTCTTTAAAACAATCCACATTGCTCTGTTAACTGTCAGAGGAGGGAGGTGACAAGGGAGCTGGAAAAAAACCCTAACTGGAACAGTAGATTGCAAAATTTTCTCACAGCTTGCACATTACAGTGTAACTGTTCCCAAGGAGCCGAAAAGGGAACCTGTCTCTTAACTGCTGCAGCAGTCGGGCCCTTCTCCCACACAACTCCCCTGCCCGCACCGCATCCTCCTGCCCTCTCGACAGCCCATCGAGCCTACACGGTATTTCTTTGCTTAATTAAGGAGCGAGGAGGATGGAGGGGCAGAGAGTGCAGGGGAGGGAGAGGAGGGAAGTGAGCAGGAACTTAAGCACAGTCCTCAGGTTTTGCGTGAATGATGCCTTCGCCGTAAACAACGGGAAGGAGGGTCAGCCAGCCAGCCCCCCTCCCAGGGCGACCAAGACCTGAGCCAGCCACAGTCCTGGTCCCAAAAGGAGCTTCAGGCTTGGAGTGAATGAGGGAGACCAGTCAGCAGATCCACCCCAGAGTGGTTTGTTTTGGAACGTTTTCTTCTCTTTTTGGTTTAAAATGTCACTTTTTGTTTGTTTGTCTCCTTTCCTCTCTCTCTCTCTCTCTCTTCCTCCTATGCCTCCTCCCCCCTAAAGAGAAGCCCCTTCCAGTGAGACAGGGTAGGAGCTGCAGGCTCGGTGGTTCCTGCAAGGCCCAGGAGGCACCGATCACTTGTGACGCTGAGCTGTCTTCTTCCGTTTCCTCTTAAAGAAGCAGCAGCACCTGGGGCACAAAGGACAAGGCAAGTTACCCCCGCGCCCGACCCCCTCGCAAGCTCCCCTGCCACCCTGGGCTTCCCTCCGCCCGGTCACATGCAACAGCACCTCCGTGCGCCCAGCCCGAGGCCCAGACAGACCTCCCATCCCGCTGGATGGGCGGCAAGGTTGGCAGGTGCTGGTGGATGCTTGACACCACCAGCCTGGACTGGTACAACCAGCAAGGGCAAGTAGCCACACGCTGTGGGGTCCGGCCACCCTACGCCCATGGGAGCCGGGCTGTCTCCCTCCCTGGGGCAGCAACACAAGGAGCCATCTGGGAAAGCAGTAAATCAAGGATCCAGATGCTCTGCTCCCTCTGTCCAAATCCCAGAGGAAGCAGACTGGGACGGCGAGCCCTGGCTGCTCTTCCCAGCTACGAGACACATGGTTTTCACCACCGTTCACTAAAAAGACAAGTTCCAAAGAGATCTCGGCTCAGGGACCAGGTTTCTTTACTGAACCTTTCACGATAACCAGAGCTTCCACCTTGGATAAATCATTCAGTGCCGATATGCAGAACCTCTGCTTCTTCCCCCAGCTGATGCAAGGGAGATGCACAGCGGCCAGGGATTAGGGGAAGCAAGAAGAATGGATAGTGGAGGCTGAGGTGGGGAGAAAAATGCCCATCACAGCTGAGCTGCGAAGAGCAGTGGGTTCACTCGTGGGAACTGTCACCCAGGTTGTCTAGTCCTGCTGGCGTTTAAGGCGTATCTACCTCTCTATCCTCAGCCCACTCCCAGGAATCCTCTGCACAGAGGGAAGGCGTTTGTTCTGTGCGAGTTCTGCTCCTGAGCTACGTGTCTTTCTCCTTTCTGCCATTACAGCCACCTCCAGAGAGGCCCGGGTGATGCTGAAAGACTACTTTTTCAGGCTGGTGGAAGGGATGCCTGGCTAAACAGCAGGAGTGGGTGTGAGTATGCAAAGACCATTTTTTCCTATCTTTTACCAACAGCCAGACAAAAAGCATTCAAAAACACCATAACAACTTCTCCAAATTATCTTCTGTTGGGTCCTTGGTGGGTCCTGAAATGTCGGCATTACGCTTCTATCCTGTTAGAGCTGGAGGAACAGATATGTTCTCACTCGACCCCCAGAAGGTGCTTGCCCCCCGGATGCACGAGCCTTACTATGGCGTGCAAAAGCGATGGGCAGCCACCCCCCTCATCCATGAGCCAAGCCTGCCAGCACAGATCTGCCAGGGAGACCAGAACGCCCCCAACACGGACAGCTCAAACAGTGACAGCAAGGAGGGCCACCTCCCACCACACATTCCTCTGGCCTGCGCTGACTAACAGCCAGGGCATATTTAATGTCCACGATTTGCCTTTAGGTTCCTAAACTGGCCCAGTCTGGAGGTGAGCCGAGAGAAAACACAAAGCACTCGTCCTTGTAGGAACACGGGCTTGGAGAGACCTGCGACAACTCCATCGCTACCTGCCTAGCCTGACATTTGCAGTGTGCAGCCTGAGGCACCGCCCAACCCAGGCTCCTGCGCACGGCTGGCACTCTCGCCCCCCCCACCCCAGGACCTGTCTTTCATTTTATTGTTCTGGGCTGTCTGCCACCCTCTCCTGCCTTAACCTGTTGTGGTATTTCTCTCCCACAGCAGCCACCTTCCTTCATGACTTGGGCAATGGTGAGTGAAGGGGGGGCGTTATGGGGAGAGAGGATGGAAAATGCACGAGTTATGATTTCGCATGCAGTGGGTAGGGGAAGAAGAGGGCTGAGCAGCACTCATTTCCTTGGGCACCGAATGAAGGGAGCTGACTGACTTCTGGCTGTTTTTTCTTCCAGGGAAGGGTTCAGGAAAGGAAGTCCTGGCAGTTCAGACAGGCAGAGGCAAAACACCAAAATAAAAGAATAAGGCAGGCTGACAATTACAGAACATGATCTCTCTGCATGCAGACAATGCCCAAGAGAACAGCTCCAGACTACGACATACAGAGAAGCCAGAGATGCCAGAGGTATCGGAGGCAATGCCTATGGAGAGCAGGGCAGAGGCGGTCAGTCTCCCATCCAACAAGGCCATTCCTTGCCGCACATGGGCTTTGTCACCTCACTCCGTAGCAATTCCCACGGACCAGCCCTCCCTGGGACCTATGAACTCCTCATCTTAGTCTCCACTTGGTTCTCTGCTTAACTGGGTACGTGGATTCCCCAAGGAGCACGGGAGGGAAGCAACACCTCCATGGGACACCTTGAGTCCAGGGGGGCACTACAGCTGCAGCTTCAAAAGTCTGATAAAACTGTACATATGCCTGAGCTGGGCTTAAGACTGCTGCTAATCCCAACCCCTCCGCCCCTTCTTTCCTGGAGAAGCCAGTTTACCCAAACGCTCAGCTGGTAGCTGCAGGGGTTTTAGAAAGGAGCCACCTCCCACCCACCCTCTCCAAGCAGGGGCTCTAGCTGGGGCTTTGTCACTAACACAGACTCCACAGCCATGTTCTTTCATTCTCTCTAATGATACAGGCCCTGGCCCATGCTTCTTCAGAGGAAACCCTCCGGGGAAGTGGCTAGCCCCCTCCCCTTGATACCTAGTGCAGGGTTTTCTCTTCCTAACTGTCTGTGTGAGGAATTCCTGCGAGATGCTTGGCAAGCCTGGTCCCGACTCTGCCCAACTCCATTAGACATCATCTGCTCACGGACATAACAGTTTGGGGGAGGTGGTAAGCCGAATAGAAAAGCATCTGATGCATCCATCAGTTCAGAGATCAGCCGAATTGCTTGGCCTAATGCGGCCGCTCAGACATAACCCACACCCTCCCCAGTATTGCGTGTGGTCCTCAGCACGGTCCTAAAATCAAAACAGCTCTGGGTTGGCTTTGACTTTGTGCCTTTTTAGGGTTTGGTCAGTTTGATTTTGCCAACCCCAGTCTAGTCTGGTCCGCTCCCCCTTGCATGTGGACTGGAGAGAGGGACTCACCACAAGTTGAGCATTTTCAGGCAGCTACAGAGAGTGTAGAGAAAAAACACAGAAAGGAAGAAAGAGCAATTAGTTCACAGAGGTGGGATGAAAGCATGTCACTGCAGCCATGCAAACATGCAGTGCAGACTGGCAGACACACACCATGCCTGCCCACCGCCCGCCCCCAGCCCTCATACCACCTCTGCCCTTGCCATGGCACCGCTGGGAACTGCCACATTCGCCAGAGTCTCGAGGCCTCTGACAGTCACCCCCTTATCTTCCATGAAGGCACCGGCCCCCATGAGGATTTTATCTGGGGCTGGGATCAGAAAGGGGCTCAGGGCCACTAGGAGAGGAATCTGCTCTTGTCCCCTGCAGTTCTAGTGGCAGAAGGGCCAAATCATGGATCTACACCCAGGACCTGCCCTTCAGCAAAACCCATGGCTGGGATTGGGAGCTTATCTCCAGCGTACCCCAAAGCAGAAGCATTTGCACAGCTCCTCTGCCTGCCGGGAGTGCCAGGGAAAGACCTTCCTGCTCTTGCATCTTGTCTTGAAACACAGACCCCCAGCTCCAGCTCCTTCTAGCTCACTTTACTGCAGAGCAGAATCCAAAAGCCCTTTGCCCTCCGCATATATCTGAGGGGATTTATGATCACAGATGCAAAGGGAAGATGAAGCCAGCCCTCCCTGTGGCAAAAGGAATGAAGCGGACTACCCTGGGGAATTACAAGATACCCCAAACCTGTCAGTGCAAAGCAGCCTGTGCTGTGCTTTCCCAGCACCTCCGAATTTGGGACCATGCGAACCAGGGCTGGAGGGAGACAGAACAGTTCCACGCATTGCAGGACATGGCTTGGGCGGCACGGCCCTTGCACGCTCCTTTTCACCTGTCTTGACATCTCCCCTGTAACAGGGATGGGTGTAGGGCCTGGACATGCTGAACAAGGTGCTGCAGAAATGGGCTAAAGGTGGTCCCATCTTAAAAAGCTGGCTCCTCCTTGCATTGGGTTGTCGTATCGAGAGCTGTTAAACATGGCAATTTGCCCCTCCTAGGGGCAACCCTGAGCCACATGCCCAGGGAGGGACCGGTTCTGTCTGACCAAGACAGACTGTGACACCAAACCAGTGGTATCTGCGGGCTGCACTACCCGTACCTAAGAGGAGCATTGCCCAATCTGCAAGGTGCACCCCAAGCTCCCCCCCACCCCGCTGTACTTGATGAGAAGCCTGCACCAAACACACGGCTCGCTCCTTTGGCTGGGAGGAGGAAGCGTATCTGTTGCTCAGGCACACTGCTGCCCGGATCACGCACAAGTATTTCCCGAGGGACAGAGGAACAGACAGCAGAAGACCTTCAGGACAACCAGCCCTGCCTTCAGACTGACGCGTACCTAGGGACCTTTTTCCATCAACATGGCCTTTCTCATGCCTGCCAGTTTTCCTCTTCACCCTCCCACAAGCCATTCCTAACAGAAGTTCCCACAAAGGCTGAGACAAACAACATGGGACAAGTGACACCAGTGTCATCCAGTCAAAATATAACCAGGCAGCTGGGCAACATCACAGCACCAACCAGTTCAAAGGCAGCCCTGGGACCTGCTTAGTCCTCGCATGGGGAGTGCCAGGATTACGCTGTGACCTGCCAGGGTCCTGGTCTAGTTCAGAGGCAGCCAGAAGGTCCCATGTTGAGGACTGTGCAAAAGGTGACGTGACAGTGCCAGCCACAGCACATGTGCAAACAAGGCCAAAACGGTCAAAGTGGCAACTTCGTACCTCAGTTCTCACTCCTGACCGCAGGCTGCAGAGGAGAGGTCAGCTCAGAGGGAGCGCGCTCTTCCCCACAAGCAGGAGCGCTGCTGCCGGGTTCTCCTGCTCAGCTTCCGTTGGGCTGGACCAAGAGAATTAACAGGGAGAGATACTCATCCCTGCAAGAGTTACTCTGGGACTGTTCTGGATACCTGGTGTCCAATTCTTGCAGCCAGAGATAAAGTGTTAACTTTCAGACCAACCATCTCTTCACTGAGCTGCCCTCAAGCTACTCCTACACTCTCAGTACAAGAGTACAGCACGTTCTCCTTTTGGAACAGGGAACGCTCACCAGGATTCCTGAAATCAATTCACATTATTTTGGTATTAGTGCTCCTGCCTATCTTGCAATACATGCTCTGAGTAAGAGTTAGGTTCTCCAGCCATGACAAGTGTAAAAAAGAAGCAGCAGCAGCAGCACTGAAGGCACCATGCACAAAAGCAGCAATATGCAAGGAAAAGGGCATGGGACGCGAGCATCGAGTACTTCACCACGGGTAAACATCCCCACTTGTTTCCCAAGGGGAGGATTAATGACCACACCAGTGGAAAGCCTAGCTGTAAAGCAAACGTACTTAGCTTCCTCCACCACCTCCACCTCTGCCTGCGCTGTTATCGGCGCGTTGGAGTGTGCCCCCGTTGGGTCGTCCACGTTCAGCTCCCCATTGGTTGAACTAACCACCTGAAACACAAATGAATCCTCCGTTAATGAAGCCCCCTTGCGTGTGATGCGTCTCTACCTGCCTGGACAAGGGATGCTGTGGGAATGGGAAATATGCGGAGTAACTTCCGTTCGCTCCTGTCTCTTTGCACCCTCTTAACCAGGCTGTTGGATTTCTTGGGTGCCTTTGAGCCACGTGCCCTCGTTTGGAGCTGGTTCATCCCAAGCAGAACAGTCGGCAGGGGAATGCCTCTGCAGTTGCTAATTCAGGCTCCTGCGCCCAGTATGGGTTGTGTGTCTCTGGGAGGCATAGCCACTAGTGAAGACTGACTGACAGCCCTATATACACACACAGACTGTATTATGTCAATTGTTTTCTCCTGACAATTTTACAGGCAAGTGACTCGGTCTTGTTGCCTGCCAGTACCATGGAAAGAAGTCATTCCAGAGCCATCAGTCTTGCTCCTTACACAGCCAGTTTCTGGAATTACATACTCATGCAAAAGCTACTGATACAGTCTCTCATCTCTTTTTGCTTCACAGCTGATGTTAAGGCTTACTTCAGCATTTCCGTCACAGGGGTGACCATCCAGATCCCCTGCTGCCAGCAGCTCTGCATTTGCCAGGAGAGCACATAATTTTCTGGATAATTCATCATAGAATCGCGGAATTGTTGAGGTTGAAAAAGCCTTTTAAGATCATCAAGCCCAACCGTTCCCCTAACCCTGCCATCCCACCACTAAACCCTGGCCCTAAGCACCTCATCTGCCTGGCTTTTAAATACCCCCAGGGATGGGGACTCGTCCCCTACCCTGGGCAGCCCTTTCCAGTGCTTGACAGCCCTTGTGGGGAAGGAATTTTTCCCAGTGTCCAACCTAAACCTGCTCTGGCACAACTTGAGGCTCTATTGCCACAGCAACCACCAAAGAAGCCTGTAAGGGACCACAGTTTGGCCGGCCCTTCTGCACTCCATTAGGGCAGCCTCCTGCGCCTTGCTGTGAATACCTGTTGCTGCTCCTGGGTCCAGAGCTGTGACGATGCGTGGCTCCCCTCCCGCTCCACCTCTTCACCTTTCTACAAGATAAAAGGAGGTATCTCCCATCGGGGGGTGTCAGTGCTACCCAGCATTCCTGGAGGCTCTGGATGGCCCAGCCACCAGCGGTGAAGGGAAGGAAGCTGCTGAAGCAGGTGTCCCCTCATGGTTAAGTACATCTATCCAGGTTCATTTGAAATGCTTAAGTTCTACCAGCGACTGCTGTTTCTGCAGATCAAGTCCTGTGGCCAGTCTCTGCCAAGACAGGTCAGGACTTGGCTGATGTGGTTTTCAGGGCTCTTCCTTGAGTGACAACCCCTTGGGTTCTCTTCACACCCCCCTTCCCAAACTCATTGCACTGTAGGCTCCAGGTTCTCCAGACCCTCACACCTTCCCACACAGCTTTGCAAAACGCTAGCACTTAGTTGTGCTATTCCCAGTGATCTTCCCACACTTTCTCCAGCTACTGGTTACATTTCATTTTACAAAAGGCTTTGCTTTTCCTCCTCTTCTTTTATGTCCCGCCACTTCATTTTGATGTGGCAAATTCAACCCTTGCCTTAAAGGCAATGGCCACTTGAAGCTGCTGACCTCCCAAGGGTTCAGCACGAACTGGTGCATCTCTTGAGGAGCAATTTAAGCATCTGCAGCCCAGCAGCCACACATGGCAGATTTCCTGTTCTTGGCTGCAGATGAGCAGAATTTTAATGCTTATAGTGACACATACAGGCTTGTAAGCTGCCCAGGTAGGCAACGCTCCCAGTCAAATTCAGACTAGGACCGCCGTCTTGCTGTAGCTACTCTGGCAGAGCACTGTTCGTGGGGAGACGCAGCTCACGCTGCCTTTGTGCAAGGAAACTATTCCCCTTACCTAAAAAAATACAAATGAAACCACCTACTCTGTACCTACTGAGCGCTGAATTCATAGAATCACAGACTGGTTTGGGTCAGAAAGTACCTTTACAGATCATCCAGGTCCAGCCCCTCTGCTGCGGACAGGGACATCTTTCACTAGATCAGGGTGCTCAAAGCCCCCTCCAACCTGACTGTGAACAATTCTCCAGTTTACTGTCTGCTTGCATCCGAGATCGAAGCTATACACACGTTAGTTCCTCCTTATATTTCGATTTCTGTTCCTCAGAAAAAAATCTTCAAATGAAAACAGGAACATGGCTAACCAAGCCAAAAATTGATTGAATCCAACCAAGTATCAGGAATAAGTAAAAATTTCAACCCAATCTGCATTTCACTTAGGGGTACCCTGCACTTCCCATCTCCTCAGCTCAGCTCTGTCCCACTCTGGGCACTAATTCCCATTTCACTAGACCCAATTTTCAAAGTGTTATGTCTGGAAACCAGAGCCAGCTCTCACAGGCAAACCTCTGCCAAAGACTTTGCCTCGTAAGCGATATTAGACAGCTCTTGTTTGCTTGATTGACTCTTGCATCTTCTCTCTGGCCCGGCCAGCCATCTTACTCTGGCCCGAGTGCAAGGAACTCCCTTCGCGAGCCTGAGTGACAACTGGAGGCAGGTATGGTTTCATAAACAGAAGCGGTCTTTTCAGGAATTTAAAAACTTAGCTGTAAGTCTTTTCAGGAATGTAAAAACCTTTCATGCTGTCTGGCACTGTTGCGCATCCTCTGCTCATCCACAGTGCAATCACCCAGAGATCCAACTTGCAGCCCCCTTGCCCTTACACTTGTGCTGGTGGTCTGCCACTGTATCCAAGACTAAAAGGCAAAAGGGGAGCAAGAGAATAGGGTCACCCTGCAACTGCAGCAACGGTTCAGCCTGCCTCCCCTCCACTTGGAGGGAGAAGTGGCTGCACAGCCTCCTCTCTGGAATTTGACCAGAACCTCGCCAATCAAGCCTGAAAGGGAACAGCTCAACTATTTTCCTAACATTTGTGGGGTTTACGTGCAACAAACCCTATTTCAGCTGCTTCTTACTATCTAAGAGCATCCCCAAGGTGGGGATAGAGAGATGCTTTATGGACCAAACCTGCTAACAGACACTGCTTTCTGTGTGCAGTTTGATGAATCTGATTGACCAGAACCTCGCCAATCAAGCCTGAAAGGGAACAGCTCAACTATTTTCCTAACATTTGTGGGGTTTACGTGCAACAAACCCTATTTCAGCTGCTTCTTACTATCTAAGAGCATCCCCAAGGTGGGGATAGAGAGATGCTTTATGGACCAAACCTGCTAACAGACACTGCTTTCTGTGTGCAGTTTGATGAATCTGAGTTCAAAATAGCTCTTGGAGGAAAAGCTTCGTTGAAGCGGTAACAGCAGCAGTGTTGGCCATCACAGGCTGGGTCCCCCAAAACTACGGCTTGAGCGTGACGCACAGGGCAGGACCAAACCGGTCTGTGAAATCACTCTCCTGACCACGATGTTAGTGCAGTTCGAGGAGAATTCAGGAGTTTTAACACAAACTCTCACATCAAGGCTGTGCCCGTCAGGAGGAAGAGGTACCTGTACTGATCCTCCATGCCGATCTGCAGCCAAATGAGATGTCAAGTATGAGGTATTTGTCTGTCGGCTGGGCTGGATCTCCCACTCCCCTCGGCGATCTGATGACGCCTGCTTACAAGTTCAGAAGCACAAGAGAAACAGAAGAGAGGGCAAAAGGTGAACGAGGGGAAGACATAAAAGGGTGTTTGTTAGTGAGTTAGTTTCTGTGCAAAAAGCAAGGCATTTAAACTTTTAGCTGGGCTAAAATTTCTCTTTACCACCTCAATACTTCACTTCAGTGGTGTCTGCAGGAATCCACTGCGGGAGTGGATTTCTTCTCTTTTGCTGCTAATGAAGAGAAAGCTCAGCTCTAACCAGGAAGTTATTTCTTTACACGGCTTCATTTCCGTGGGTTTCAGCACAGAAATAAACACACTGACAGCGTGCTTAGCTGCGCCTGTCAGGTCACAGGCACCAGAGCACTTGGCATGGCAGCGAGATTGGATACACAAGCTCGACCTCCCTAAAATATGTGTTTTTAAACCCAAATTTGCAACACAAAACAAAGCCACGTTTTATTTCACCAAAAGCCAGTTCCACACACTGATTCACCTGTATGGTGCAGAAGGAAACATCCACCAGACCTGCTTGCCTGGAGAGAGGGTTTGGTTTTCTGTAGAAAAGTAGATAAGAAACTTTTGCTAACAGTTTCTTCTTCATCCCCAACAGATGCAAACTTTAGGCAATTAAATGATTAGGATCTTGTTTGTTTTATTAGAAGAACCACTTTGCACTTGCGCGTGAAGGTCCTCAAGGGTCACCCAGCTTTGATGACAACACATCCAGCATTTGCCTAAGCCCCAGGAGGATCTCAGTGCACCTAAACCCAACCGACCAGCTGGAGGAACTCTTCCCAAGACCGGGAAGTGTAGGACGAACAGGTAGATCTGAGCTGGCCTCAGGCCAACAGCAGAGGACGTAGTCAAGTCTGAAGTGACCAACGGGACAGAAAAAGTGCCTCCCTGAGTGCCATATAAAAATTTAAGCAAATGTTTCAAAGCTGAAGCACAAGAGGCTTAAGTGAATAACCAGGAGGTTATCGTAGTGAAGCTGAAGGAGCTAACCAAGGGGATGTGGGCAGGCCCTGCCTTTCCCCAGCACTACTTTGTGTTGCTCCCTGCAGCCATGGATGATCAGCCCAAGCCCTGGTCTGGGCAAGAGAGAAGCCACAGGGCTCGGTGCCACTGTGGGAAAAAAAAGAAAAGAAAAAAAGACGGCAAGCAGCTCCATATGGGAAAACGACTCCAGAAATCTCTGAATAAACTATGCTAAGTAGTAAACTGTCACTCAGCTAGAACAGAAGCATGTGCAAAGGGATGCAGAATTAAAAAAGAAGCCTCCTGGCATTTTGTAAAACATTTGCTATCGTTCCCCTTTGCATGTGACCTCCGATTCCCTCCCGGAGTGACCCACAGTGCTGCTCCTCCTTCCGAGCAGGCACCAAATCCAGTTCACAGGTACTGTTTCCCTAGAGGTGGTCTTGTCCAGGCCTGTCCTATTAAATCTTATTATGCGTTCTTCCCGTCAGCTCGAGACGCTGCTCATGCTTTTTGTACTTGGTGACATTCAGAGGAGAAGCACTTCCCCTGGAATTTTTTTTTTTTAATGGCTGCAAATCACAATATTATGAATAACAGGAGAATTTAAATGCAGGTTTTGAAAGCTAGTAGAAGACAGATCTTAAGCGCTGCTTCTTCCAGAGCACTCTGCCATCAGGTCACTTGGCTAGCCCAGGTGGTGGAAGTAGTTGCCATGCTATATCAACATTAGCAGAAGCACCCTTCGGCCTAGGAGCCTGGAAGCGGTTTCTAGGAAAGGCTCTAGAAGGCACAACAGCCAGATTCTTCTCTTTTAGCTCTACAGCCAAGTACATGATAAACTAGTGGTGAAGTAGATTTGAGCTGAGCCACCCAAAAGGCAACCCAAGCAGTGACACGGAGGAAGCGATGCCTGTAAAATTCGAGAGCATCGAGTTCCCATTAATGGTCATCACCTTCCTACCAGCTACTGAACCGTGAGACGAGACTGGCACCTAAAGACAGGGGGCAGAGCTCACCCATCTTTGATAGGCAGTAAAGTATCTGCATTTCCTAGAGGAAAAGGGTACCAGAAGGAGACCACTCTCTCATTGGTGTCTTTACTGGGAAACCAAATACTATAAAAGAGAATCTGCAGTTATTATACCTGGGAACAAAAATAAGGCAGTTAAATCTGGAGATCAAGGCAGTCACTTGACCCAAGCCTCCAATTTGCTGCTCTAGACGTTTATTTTTTCTACTTTTTCCTCTAGAGAAATCCTTTGCTCAACACTTACAAGGAACATCCCTTGGAAGAGAGTTGTTTATGTTTTGGCGAGAAGAGACTGATTTTCCCTGCATATTGGGAATATTAAATTATTCTGCATCCAAAGTAATGGTTAGGTGAAAAAAAAAGTGACCAAAGCTGTCATGCAATACAGTGTCAAGAGTATTTGACAGGCTCAGAAGAACAAGGACTGAAGGCTGCTCGCGTAATATTTTGGGAATAGGACAGATTTCTTTGAGCTCCCTACCATAATTTGTGAACTAACATGCTTGAAAATGAAGCCAGGTGTCATTGTCCGTTAAAGGAAACAAGATGACTCGTACGTAGACAGTGCGGAGGTCTGTTGTCAAAGCAGACAACTAGAAATGGCCACCCAAAAAATTTGGGGTTAATGCATTAATCAGGCAATGTATTAAAGCAGATGATGATGTTACTCACAAACCAGTCCATGCTCATCAGCATGCTGAAATGCAGTACTGCACACATGCTTCAAACAATCCAGTGTCCTACAAGCAACGCTGCTAACAAGGGGTATTCATCCTCATTGTAGCTGATGTTTTTAGATGTATTCTAGTCTACGTTAGCGCCTCTACCATTCATGAGCCCAGCTGCATGGAACGGGGAAAGCTGAGCCCAGACAGGTTATTACATCTCACACTAGATTCTGCACCCACTGAACCCCGGCTCGCACGAGCTGAGTGGGAGCAGAGCCAGCAGACAAGGAGCTAGGATGGCACACAGCGGTTAGAGGAGCAGAGCGAGCCCAGAACCACTCACTGGGAAGTAAGAGCACCAACAGCTCTAGCTAGGAGCCAGCAGTTGGAGATCTACTGAACTTCTGATCAGTTCTGTTAATACAGAAAATCCAAACTCTCAACACCAACAAAACATTACAACTAGAAAGGAAAAAACACGTGGAAATTCAAATTTTAAAAATGGCCGTTCATGTGGACCATGCTGCCCAGCCTCCCCCGGGGGACCCTACCCTGGCAGACCTTTATGCTCTGCAACACTTCGCCGTGCAGTGGATACCCCGAGCAGGACATGCTGCACATATGCAGGATGCGCACATCCCTACTGCAGCCGCGCAGTCCATGGGAGGAGGGCACCTGGGGGCAGGCTGCCATTGCCACAACTCTGCTGGGCTACTCCACAGCCCACGTGCCAGGAGTAAAAGCACCCAAAGGAAGATGGTTGGCCAGGCAGGTCAGATAGTTTGACTGGGCTGGATAGTTGAGTTAAACAGCTTACCCACAAACTACAGAATAACGACCCATTCCAAATTGTACTCCATTGGGTTCACAATCCCGAGGAATTCCACTGGCCGATACAGCATTTCAGCAACCTGTTGCTTTGGCAAAATTCTGCTCAAATCACAACCTCTAAATCAAGCAGGAATTGTGCTTGCCAAGATCAAGGTAAGAACCAGCCCCGACCACCTCTAACGGCATACGGTTTCTGCTTCTCCTCTCCAAGAGGAATTCGGAGAGGTGCCAAACAATGTGGCGCATTTGTGAGCAACGCACCTGATTGCGAAGGGCCTGCTGTGATGGTCGATCCCTATGGATGTGGCTGTCTCTTGTTACTGCGGACGTCCCAGAATCTACGTGAACAGATCCCACTGGAGTAGGCTGGAAAACAAGGCACTCATTAGGATGAAGCCAATGCTGAAGATGCCTCTCGCTCACCCTCTCAACACATACATGCATGACCCTAACTTGTCAGGCTTGCAACCATTGGGTAGAAGCAGGAAAACATCAAAATGCTGCCCAAAGGTACTGACAATAACAAGGGAATATTACAGCCAGGGCTATAAAACCCCTGTGATTTGATGGGCATGTGATTTGATGCTGGATACCAGCAACAAATGTCTTGTATAAAAATTAATTAAAAAGATATAGTTAGGTACGTGTCTTGGTGTCAGATCACACCTAATGTGTTTCACATAGGATTATTACAGCTGCAAATATACAGACTTGTTTTCCTCATCTCATCGTCTTGGCACTTTTAAAATCAGGCTTGCATAGAAACAGGACATGTTAAAATTAAAGCTTCATCTGCTCTATTCTCACCAAAGTCATAATCCCTGCTCACAACATCAAAATCTCCATAGCAACCACTGCAGTTGTCAGCAGTAGCATGCTTGTCTTACAAGGTGCTTTTTATCAATTGCCTTTGTAATTAAACAAAAATGAGGGGAGAAATCATGATTCATAAAGGGAATGGTTTTTTTTATGAAGATGAACTGGTTTGGGCCCAGTAAGCATCGGTAATGCTAAATATAGTTGGGACAGTAAATCACCAGCAGCGGTACCAAGTCTATCACTGAAGGCATTTGATCTGGCACCAGTGACAATTAATTTACAGATGCCTTTGCCATTGCCGGAGTGTGGTGACTGGCCATTAGCGAGGAGGCTATCGGCAGAACAACACAAAACACAAGTGACAGGTGGCCAGCGGAAGAGCTTTAGACTTTTCTATCAGATTTCTCAATGGCACATCTTTTGGCCAAAGTATTCTTGAGCAAAAATGGCTTTTGAACAATAGCAGCAACACAATGATATCACGATTACGGTCCATGGAACTGCTAAATGGAGCTTGGTTACTCCCACATTTCCTTGCCACGTGCTATAGAGAGCTGGTTCAGTCTCCGGAGCAGGGTAAGCCCCAAGATCTTTTGAGCTTAGAACTGGTTTGCTGTTACTATTCACTGGGCATCCCATCAGAGCCCTGCCTAGGTCTCCCGTATGTCTCGATGAGAACTCAACCATGGTGGAGGTCTTCCACCATTCAGTGCTGAGGTAGCAAGTATGGTCTCCTGCTTTAAGATGGATGTCTTTAGATACTGGTCTCAACTCCTGTGCTAGACTAGAAGAAATTAAGTCTAGTAGTGTTCATTGCCAGAAGTGGGAAAATCAGGTTTGAATGCCCCACAAGGGCAAGCCCAAAGAGGTGGGAAGGGGCCTTCTGCCCCTTAGGGAAACCTCAATGCAGTGCAGGAACCCCCTGAACTCAATGTCAGGACATCTCACTATGTTAGGCCCATGTCAGCTAGAGAACAGATGTGAAAGACTTGATCCTACGCTCACATGCATTAATTGGGAATATCAGGAACAGAGAGCCAGAGAGCCAGCTGGTGGGGAAGCAGCACCTGGAAGGCAAGGCACTGCATTTCATGGGGACAACTTACAATTGGCCTGCCGACCCAGTCATAGGCGTAGTCAAAGGTGTAGCCTTTCTTTTCAAACAGCTCTGTGAAGATGGTTCGTAAATAATCGTAGTCTGGTCTCTCAAAGAAGTCTAATCGCCGAACGTAACGGAGATACGTGGCCATCTCCTCTGTTGGAAAAGGGGACAAAAGCAGCAGTATCAGTTCTGCTCACACACGAGCTCCATCTCTTACAAGCCTCTCAGAGCCAACACACACACTGGAAATAAGCTTTTCAATTAACTTCACCGAGGCTTTCCCATGGCACTAGGCTCAAAGTTGGTGCTTAAAGTTGGGCTGAGGGCCAGATCACCAGTGATGCGAGTTGTCCAGGCTCCACTAAGTTCAAATGAGCCATGCGGATTGACAGAAGCTGAGGATATCCAACAAGTTTTCACCCTCAGTGACCCACTCCACAGTCTTTTATTGCTTGATGAATCCAGAGCCCTCCTGCCTTGCCCAAAGTCTGCTAATAGTCTGCTTTTATTCCAAATCTTCTGAATGCGTTGTTATAAATGAAGGTCTGTGTTTTAGCATTGAGCACCATGCTGTGAGAGAACTGCCTGGGCTGCCAGTACTACCTCTGGCTTTTCTTATAAAAGCAGCATTTTTTAGTAATAGTCTGCAATGCAAATAATTTCAAACACTTCTCAAGCAAAGATGGAAGTCCCACCTCTGCTCCAGAGAGCTGCTGCTCACCCTCAAACCTGAGTGCCACAGCTGGTTTTATTCCATACATTTGTATAAAAACAAACACTACAACACACTGTAGGATAAAAGCCAACCCTCTGGACCTGCCAACAGGGTGCTCATGTGTATGTCTGCTCACACAAACGTTTGACATAGCCACAGTGATGTCATCTGGAGGAGGAAAGTGGGAGATGTCAGCAGGTGCCCTGCGGCATCCCTGAGCTCCAGCAACCGGAGCTCTACAGTCTGGCTGCCTGGAGTGCTTGTGCTGCTCCCAACGTCATTACATTAATCATAGCCTTGAATATTCAAAACAAGACTTCAAAGGGGAGACTCCAAGGTTCATTTACCTGGTGCACACAGAACAGTGTTTGGTGTTAATTAATTGCTTTCCTGCATCTGGGTCGTACTTTGCATGTACAGAGAACAGGAGCCCTGCCCCTTGGCTCGCGCCTAAGCCGAGGTAGGACCTCTGAGCAGAGCTCAGTACAAGGCGTGAGTTGGCGTGCTGCAGTACGACTCATATACCAACATGGTTTTTGCCTTTAGCTAACAAAAATAAAACCAGCATTGCTTATCGATACTTAATTCTGTCTGTGGCTTGCAGCTTGCATGTCATGTGGACGTAAAAGAGGCAAAAAAGGAGGAGAAAAAGGTAATCCCCTCTTCCTGCTAGTGTCTCTGAAAGGTGGAGGACAACAGGTTTCAGGTGAGCAAGGAAAAGAAGTTCTCTCATCTCCCTTCAGCCCAGACCTGCAGGTATGGCTGAGCGCTGAGGACGGAGCATTGGGGAAAATTATGAGAACAGCCAACCTGAAGCTGTTCTGCTTGGAACTGGGTGGATTTGGGCTGCAAATACATCTGGGGAATTAGCATGACTAGAGCGAAAATGATCCCCTTCCAGGCTTGCTGCTCCTCACGCTGGGAAAAGAATGGGGCTGATCGTGGGGACTGGGTACTCTCCCTGGTGCCAAGATTTGAAAAAACACCTAAAATACCCCACTCTGTGAAGGCCATGGGGTACCTGGGGAGGGCTTTAACTGTGTACTCTGCTTTTCTACCTCCAAGGCAGACTTTTGTTTAACTGGAGAAAAGGTGCTGGGCTTGGCTAGAAGCACATCTTTAGTAATACTCTCCTTAAAACTGCTGTCAGAAGGTGAAATTCAAGGACAGACCCATCATCCCATCTTCTAAGCTGGCCACCTACAATTTTAACACCCGTAAAACCTTCCATTTGGAAAAGAATTAACTTAGTAGGTCCAACACGGTCACTTGAGAGAGGGGAAGCAACGAGGCCCTCTTTTGGAAGGAAGCCAAGAAGCAAAAGCAGGAACATGTGGCACTTGAGCATTGTCCAGCCTCCTTGATGAGAAGAGTTATGCTCATTTTGAGCCACAGCCACGAGCCCTCAGGCCCTGCTAATTTATAGCGGCAGCTCCAGTCGTCTGCCAGCTTGAGTAACTACATCAGGGATACACATCATCCAAATACTTTCTGCCAGAGGAGCTCAGAACTGTCATATTTAACAAGGTATGACCACCTCCAACCGCACTCAAATGGTCCCATCAGGGCTTTACCTGGAAAGTTCTCACAGAGAACTTCAACCGGAGTGTTTCTCTTTGTGTCCCCAATCTTCTGATATCTCTCTTTTAAGGTGTCAGCCTGTAGCACACAAAGACAAAACAGTTGTGGAGAAAGAGTTCAACCATGTGATAAACAACATGCTGTATGGGAAGAAAAATGACGTATTTAATTCTGATTCTGGGTGGCATCAGAAGATGTTACTGGTAACTGAACTTCATCCTAGACTACGCTAGTAGGACACTATCTTACCCTGTTGTAATCCTGGCTTTACATTTTCCGTGCTATTGGCAAAGAATATCCAAGGATCTTCATCGCTTGTAAGCGAGGACACTCGTTAGCGTCTCATAAGGCTCATTTCTTACCAGCCCAGTCTTGAGGACTGTATGAGGAACCTTTCATGGGACAAGAAAATAAAGCTGCACATACTACCATGCTATGCACATCAGTCCTAGGCTTAGAGCCGCTGGCAGCCTCAACACCTTCATCAACCGTAAAAGTAGATAAATTGCAACGGCAATTTGGGTACGTTGGGTTTTTACTGTGTGTAATAGCATGCCACCATATAACTAACTCGTTTACATCAGTCACACTTCTCCCAAATCCCATGCTACTCCCACCCTACCTCTCCTTTCACCCCCAAAGTGTCTATCACTTAGCACATATTGAACAGCTGGTCATCAAGAAAATGAAACAAATTTCAGTTAGATTGCCCACCAAAATCCCTCTTGAAGCAGAGAACTCTGCTCCAGCCGGCACCCTAAGAACAGGTTCCATTGCCTCCATTTCAAAATACGCCAATTAGACCCGCCAGCAGCATAATTAGCACCATAAGGTGTTCTCTCAAGACTTTAGCTCCAACAACAGAGACCAAAAGCATAAGCTGAGGAAACCTAGCAGAGTGAAGATGCCATATTCTAGATGAAGCTGAAGAGTCTGTGTTTGTTCTGGAGCTGAAAAAATACAGGACTTAAAGAAGCAGTCAGCTAATTCTTATCAAGCTCAGCACTGGACTGAGGAAATTTTGTAGAGTTGTGCCTAAACCTGGAATTATTTTTGAACAATTTACAGGATTAATTTAAAGTGGATGAGTGCAACTAAGCCAGAAACAAAATATGTAATGGAATAACACACCCTTAACAGAGGTGTGAACTTAAAAGTTGGAGAGATTCTGATTTCTTTCAGAATCACTTTCATGCTCGAAAAAACCTTCCTTTGCTTTTATGTTTCTGGCACATGTCTGGTAAGGCTAAGCTGAGACTAACCCTGCGTAGATAGTGACAAAGCAGCTTAACAAGGTCTATCACGCAAGCTGCTGCCACTGACCATAGCAGCACTCTGCCAAGCAGCTTGCGAGCCCAAAACCTTGTCTCCTTTTCCTAACAGCACTAACAGATCTAACAGGAGTTCTTGTCTTCATTAATAAATCTTCTCCTCACCTGATCAAAATCCATCCCTTCACTCACTGCAATACCAAAGCTGAGCACGGTAGCTTAATCATCAAGAAAATGATGGAGAAGTGAAGATGCAACTACCGATGGCTTCAGAGCCAGCAAATAACTTGCTACTCATTAATTCAGCTGAGGGATGTTAGCAGCCGTTGCTGTAACTCGATTGCTTGCAGCCCTCCACGTTGAACATGACTTTTCATAAACCTCTAAGCACTGAGCGCCTGGTGTCTCTGGAGGGAGGCCAAGCTCAATACTTCTGCCAGAAAACCAGTTTTTCAAGCTGAAGTCCATCTGCATGTCTAAACCCATCAAACTGCTCCCGTTATAAATACGTTTCACAGATGCAGCTGGGGGATTGTAGTGCCCTAACTGGAATTTCATAAACAACCACCGTGTCCCGGTCGCACTCCAACTTGGGGCAGCTTCGTGCTACAGCAAAGCTGATCCATCAGCTCAGCAGTTTTCTTGCCACCGTCCCTGTCCCAGCCGCTCATCTGCCTCTGCTGGATCTTTGCTCCAGAGTTGTACCAATGCAGCTAAACTAATGGTAACCTGAAGTGGCAGGTAACACATTTCTATCTTAAAATCCTTCCTGTAGGTAAAGCTAACGCCCTGTCATTAAGACTTCAAGGACACAAAGGACAGGACAGCATTGCTGGCTGGATTTTGCAAATGTTTCCCCACCAGATTCTCATCTGGGCACAGACCAGCTGAAGTTTCAAAGGGCAAAACCTAAAACTCCAACCTACCTTCAATCCTTGCCAGGGCAGACTGCCTCGGAGGAAATACATAAACATATGGCCGAGGGCTTCCAAGTCATCTCGACGACTTTGCTCTAGAATAGAAGAGATGACAAATGATTGCTGTAGCTACAGAAATGGATCTGAGACCTGATCAGTAGCCACACGTTATTTCTGAGATAAAGTTATCCCAGGGAGGTTCACTTGCTGTCTGAAGCTCAGACCTTGTGCACAAATACCTAGAACCTGTTACAAAAAAAAGGTAAAATACATGAAGAAAAGATCAGTTAGAAGGCATAGGGTAATGCAGGAGCTGTAAGACATACTGTGTGGCCTTAGATAGAGTGGATAAAAGGTGGGGATATTAATTGCAGAGGAATAAAGCTGTTGCCCAGCTCTTCTCTGGACCACTAGCGCCGATGGTGCAACTGCGACGTGGTGCAGGATTATGTTATTTCCTCTGAACTACACGGGAACAGGCAGGGGATGCTTGCAACGTGCTGCAGGGAACTATCATGTTGCATGGTGCCGACGCTTTCCCAATTGTTTCTGCAGCTCACCACATCAGAGCAGATCGAAAATAGCTCCTTCTAGCACCGCGTTTCCTTGTGAAACACCTGCTGCTGTTGCCATGCAGATGTTATGAAAAAAAGGGGCCTCAAGCCAAAGGAAAAAGCATCTTTAAAATAATCTCCCAAAATGTATCAAAAAACCCCAAGGGAGGATACAAGACAGAATAAGAAATCTGGAGCACAACAACATGGGAGCACCACTGTGCTGGGCTGCACCATGTGGACTGGGGTTCACTGGGCTCACAGATGCCTTTGATGCAACCTCCTCTCCTCCAAATCTCTGCTGGCAGGCAGATAACACGCACCAAAGCCACAACCCGGAGCAGCTGTAGTCACGCAGCCACATGCCACGACAAACCGACAAACTGCACGTGAGCTGTCCCTGATGCTGCATCATCTGCAAGAGGAGAAGGCGGCAGCGCTTTGCCCAGCTTGACTCTCCTTCAAAAACGGCAGCAAATTTAACCCTCAAAAGATGCTGGGGGTGAGAATGCTCAGCAGAAGGGAACCGAGATGACAGTTCCTGCAGGTTACCCTGACACAGCTGTAAAAAGGAAAAAAAAAAAAAAAAGAAAAAAAGAGGATGTCCTGCGTAATTTAAGTGCAACGATGCAGATGAACTTCTTGGGAAGATGGTTGAGTGCGCTCATCTTTCAAAAAAATGGCTATTGAAGTCCTTTATTTTGTTCAGTCCTGAAGAGTGAAGAGACTGACTCCACCTGGGCTGGCCTCAGCAGCAAAGCATCGGTCCCACGAAACCCCTCTGGGCAGAGACAGGCCCCTGCAGAGCTGGTAGCCAACCTTCCCCTCCTCAAATACACCCGCCCAGAACTGGCTCTTCCCCTGCATGAGCCATGGCGTGAGCTGCAAAAACCTGCAGGGAAAAGGGTCCTAAAGAAGGCATAGGGTGTACTTCAGACACAAACAGATCTTCTCTCCACATCCACCTGCAGAGCACGTCCCCGGCACCAGCAGTTCCTGAGCGCATTCCCACTGCAGCTTCTCATTCCTCCATCCTGACTCTTGAAGTTTTCCAAAATTAGAAGTCGGGCTCATCCCTCCTTACTCCCCAGGAGTGAGCGAGCGAGCTCTCCAGGAGATGCGAAAGCCAATGATGCCTTGATCTCACAGCTGGGAGGCCACTCAAGTGATATTCCATTATCTCACTGGTCTTATGAGTTTTAGTGAATATAAACATTTAGTAAGGTTTTGTGCCTTTCAGCCACAGAAATGTAATCTTCTGGTATGAATGAAGGCAGTGAGGAGAGGAGATGAAAGTCAGGTTTAAAAATCATTAAATCATTACTTTTCTCCAACCGATTATTAGGTCAGGGAACATCCAATTCCAACACCTGAAACCAGAAGGTACTGGTACAGAGCTCTAATATAAAAATCTATTTGGTCATCATTTACTACAGCAATTATTACCCGCCTACTTGCCTTTATCAGCACAGGGTTGCTACCAGTTATTTAGTTCCTAATAACAACTATAATTACAAGGCTTCCAACGTTTCAGCTGTCTCAATTCCTCAAAAGGGGGGAAAACATGACTGTGAACAGCATCATGGCATCAAAAGGTTTACAAATAGCTCAAAGGGCACAAGAGAGCCGTAAAGCCAAGCTGCCATCAGAGATCTACAAGACTTGGCACCGCAAGCTCCCACCAACCACACAGACCTTTGCCGAGATGAGTGTTGATGGACATGTATCTCGCTGTTCCAGTTAAGCTCTTGTGTTCCCTATAAGGTATGTGTTTTTTGGTTTCCGGGTCAATGTACTCCTTCGCCAATCCAAAGTCTATGATGTGAATGACGTGCTCTTTCTTATTGCCTTGCCGGCCAATAAGGAAGTTTTCTGGCTTGACATCTCGGTAGATGAGGTTCTTCGAATGCACGTACTCCATTCGAGATATCTGCAAAGCAATGAGGCAAAAGTTATTCGTGAGCAGACCACCTACCACGCCCTCCTGGCTAATGAGGCAGCAAGGTTTTGTTAGCCCATCACTGAGCCTCTGCTCGGTGTGATCTCAGCTTTCCGCTACTCTATGAGAAACGCAACAGATGGAGCAAACTGAGGCAGAAGTTATGATCGGAGCTGGGTTGCATCCTCCAATGCAGATCTGGAAGAGGAATTTGTCATCCCCTCCTTTCCACGGCTACTGCACCGTGCTCCCTTGACTTTATCCCAACAGAAACTGCAACGTCTGTTTCTGAAATGTTACTAATGGGACGCAGCCCTTGGAAGGATGCCATGGGGAATTGCAGCAGCCATTTTGTATTGATTTAAAACATACTAAACCGGTTACCAGGAGCTCTTCCCCTGCCCACAGCCTTCTCTTGTTGCTCTGTGTCTTACCACCTTCCTCCCTCAACCCATATGTTGTCTTAGACATGCCAGATTCTTCATGGAGGGGGATTTTTGGGCGGGTGGAAGCCTTACGATCCTCAATGCTGACTAAAAATAATAATTAATCTCACCAGTTGTCAACTAGAAATAGCTGGAATATTTTTCAGTTTTTGACTAGCTTTGTTCTGAGAGTGTGACTGAGGAGGGAAGGTAAAAGGGCAGGAACCTCACTTCCAAGGTGATGGAGGGCCATTTCCCCTCTGACAACACACCTTATTCACATACTCATCATTAATATTGCTTCGGAAACTAAATATATGGCAGATGAAGTTCAAATAGATCAGCAAGAACTTCTCCTTTGGGTTCCTAACTTAACATATGATTCCAATTGGAAATAACTCACAATTTCCTTTAGTTTATTACCTTTGAATTTCTTTTTTACTCCCACTTAACGGCTGTCTTGGACCACGGCTGCCCTGCACACATGGTGGCTTTGTTAAGCAAGATGCTTCTTTGGAAAGGCTGTCTACCTGTATGCACTACAAAACCACTGCAAAGCTCTCACACGCTCCAGATCTTGCATTAACAAGCGTCAGTCCGCAGAAGTCACTGCCGCGCTGATGCGGTGGACCTCACAACGTGATGCTGTTGGACTTGGTGAATGTTTAAGGTGAGATCCACCAGCTGGTCACCCCCCAGGGAGCTCCCTGTGGGAATCACTGGTTCCTGAGCAGTTCTGCACTGGGTCAATACTGGCAGGACAGCTCCGCACCTCCTGCATGGGGCAGGCTGGAGCTCCCCCCGCTTGGGATCACCAAACCAGCTGATCCCCAAGCTGAGCAGCTGCCCAGGCAGCAGGAACCCCATGCTTGTTCTTCCAACCAACCCGCTTACTCGACCACAAGGCCCACTGGGCCAACAGACCCTGACCGCTCTTTGGTTTCTCACTCCGAATCCAGACACATCCTCAGCTGGCAAACCCAGACCTGTCTTTTTCTTTCCAGATCTTGGATCCGCACCTGGCTGAAAGCTCTGTGCGCACGTGATCACTCCATCCTGCTCCCAGAGGTTTATTAGATACCCTGTTTTTAAGGAAAACCTGCTGCATTTCCACCGCTCGAAAAGAAGTAACAGGCAGGAGGGGCAGCGCTCCTTACAAAATAAAAAATGCTGCCCAGGGAGGGCTGGAGACAGGAGAAAATTGACTGCAGGTGAATCAGTCTTAAAAAACAGGACTTGCTCAAAGGCTCTTCAAAGAAGGCAACAGAACATGTTGCTATTCCCCTCCCCTCTAAGCAGTGATTTATTTCAACGCGCTGAGGAAATGGGTTTCACGGCTAACAGCCATTATTTCTAATCAATTATAGGATGATGCAGAACAGAGCAGATGCTCTGCACTTCAGCCATTCTTCACGCTTTGAATCACCTACAGGACACAGCAGCAGGCTGGAAGACAAAAAGGTACGTCGGGAAGCAATTCAAATTAAGATGCAACCCTTAAAACTGGAACAAAGCGTTTCCTTGCCTCTCCATACATAATGAGCTTTCAAACAGAGCCTGACTGGCTCACGTGATTTGTCTCTTCTACCAGAGCAGCTCAGTTGTTGAAATGGCCAACAGCAATGACACACAATCTGAAAAAAAGCGGGCTTTGTTTTGCTCCTTAAAACCTCACAGCAAGTTGTACTAGCCAGGACAACAGCCTGGAGAGTTGAGATGTCAGATGCAATGACACACTCCAGCAGCACTTGAAGATACTTATTTACCTGCTTTTTTTGCTTCCGCCACACACACACAGATGATTTATATCCTTTTTTCTTTACTTCCACCTGCCTGGATGCTTCGTGATGTGCTGCCGGAGAGCTGCGCACAGCCAACGATGGCTGAAAAGTGCTCTCCAATTCAGAGAGATGTTTCCCAGCGTAGCCTCCACACTTTATCCACCCTGACAAGAGACTCACCCTGCTCATGGCTGCTAGTGACGGGGAGCTGAGGACTATCTGTGTTGCATTGCTCTTCCAGGCTTGCTGCCCAAGAAGAAATGAGCAGGGCTGGTGTAGCGCGACCTCGGCCTGACTCAGACCATCACAGAGCTGAAGAAGAGAAGTGGAGTTCCCACTGCATACGTGTGCAGGATACACAGACAGGGTGCCCACTCCTTTTCTGTCTGAACTACAGGCTCTAATGTCCGTGCATTAATTCTTCTATGGACAGAGAAACCCCACAAGGAGCTAGGACTAACTGTCGGAATTGCTTTTACACTGGAAAAGCAGCGTGACCACAAAGCAGTGTGAACATCTGCCCTGTTACTTTAGCAGGAATAAGAACAGACTCCGGCATTTTGTCACAGGGTCCAGGAAGCCTAGGGGTGGATGGGAGACTGCTTGCAAGTTAAAGCAGGGTTTCCATGGCCATGGCAGGCTCTTTGGAGCCACAGATCTCCATTTCAGATGTTGGAGAAACCCCTGGGAAGGAGAGCATCCCCTGGAACACAGCAGGACCCCGTGCTGCAGCTGAGAAATGAGAGGGTATTTGTGACATTTAACCAGGTGCCAAAGACACCCATGCTCCTATTTTCCTTTCTCCTGTCAAGGAAGCAAGCGTAACAAACCCTCTTTGCCCAAAAAGGTAACTCCTGAAGAGCTGCTCTTGCTGGCAATCCCTTCTCTAGGCCCTCCTGATAAATCTGAGCCATTCTTCCACATATCACCTGCTTGAATATAGATTGAATCAGCAGAGATTAAAAATGCCTCCTCTTTAAAGGCTCTTTTGGCGTCTCTTACGGAAGACGATTTTGATGGTCATGAGTAAAAAACCTTCACCATGACTTGGTCCAGATCACAGCCCAAAGTATTTGCACAGTGCCTGGCACAACAGGCCTCGTTGCTGACAGCAAGCACGTACAGCAAGGGTGAAAATAACATTTACTCCTGACAAAACTGAGTTATCAATGAGCATTGTACACATTGGACAAGAGTGAAGAACGGCAGGTAGAATACAAAACATCCTCCCCCAGTCCAAACACCGAGTCAAACCCTAAGATGACTTCTGATTCACGGGCTTTAGTGAACACGTTTTTAATTGCCAAGCTGTGCATCGTTCAGGAACATCAACCACTTGATCTATTCAGCTGCACATGGAGGATAGAAGAAGCAGTTGCAGTTTGATGCTCTTAGCAGAGAAACTTGAAGCATTGGAGACGCACAAGTTACAGCAGTAACAGAGCTGGAAAACTTCCACCAGGGAAGGAAACCAGAGGACTCCTCCAATGCAAGTTTTCACTGAGAGGTATGAAACGGTGCATGAGACCAAGAGAGCCTCTGATTCGACTCAGGCTGTGTTTGTTAAGCTGCTGCCACAGCTCTGAACACAACGCACGCTTACCAGAAGAACATGCAAGCCTAGTGACAAACCTGTGGGCGGTGTGGCTCATCCCCCTGCCAAGGCAGACTTTCCTGCTGTGTCATATCACCTGAAAAGACTCCAAAACAGGCTCATCCTTCTTGAAGACTCATTATCATTGAGTTGTTATATCCCTCAGCCAGGAGAGTCTTCCTAATGTAAAACCACATTTAGATTCTCCCATAATCACAAGCAACACTCCTTAAAACAATGATGATATATTTGTTTCTCCTAGAGGGCTTTTCTTCTAACATCTGTAGAGTTAAAGGATCCACTCCAGCCCTGAGACACTGCTACCTATCAAGCTAAGTAAGACCAGCCAAGCACATACGCTTATTAAAAAACATTTTTCAGGGATGCCTCTGGTTAAAAATTGACCATTGGACACAAAAAAAAAGGAGATCAAGTGCCACCACACTGCGTTCAAAGTTCCTGACTAGTTTTAGCATGCAGCACACATGTAGATGTGTTGGAGATGCATGGCAGCAGTGGTCAGGCTTAAGGAAGGAGAGGAGGGGGGAAGGCAGCTAAATGGGACCTTGAAAGCAGCATCTGGCTGCTGCCGGGCTGAGCCTGTGGCGGGCAAGAGCAAGGAACCACACAAACAGCAGAGAAGGGACTGGACGCTCTTAAAGATGTGGGGATCGTTACATCCAAATGAGGGGAGAAAGGTCTAGGGGACAAAGGGGTGGACACTTAACATCCCACTAGCTCAGGGCCGCCAGCGTTGCTGCTCAAATGTGTGCAAAAACATCCCCAGCAGACCTCTCCTTCCTCCCTCTCCAGAGGGAAGCAAGCCCAAAGGCAGGAGAGGCAACGCAAAGGTGACTCCCAGCATTGGGGTCATCTCCTGGGAGCTGTCCGAGCTCCATGACACAGAGCAGCTTCCCAGACAAGTAGCACTGCTCCACCTTTGGGTGGTCTTCCTGGGCTTAAAAAAAAAATTGTGTATATATATATATATATAAAATTTCATGACTTTTTGGTGAGAACCGAATGAGAGTAACAGTTTTTTGCAAGTGCTGAGTTGTCCCTCACTCAGGGCAGGGTGCTCCTCTCTGCTGTCTGGGTGGCACGGGGCCACTCACATTTTTGGAAGTCTCCACTGATATTAGGCTTCATTGACAGGCGTGTCAAGCATCAGGGGAGAGAAGCTCTGCTTGTGCAACACACTGGGTTCTGGCAGTGCAGTCTTATGTCTCCTCACACCTGCGGTCAGAACTCCATCAGCTTAAGCAGGCCTGGCTGGTCAAAAGCAGGAGCAAAACATAATTTATGGAGGCGAACCCACGGAATTTGACAGTCCAGCTTTCCTTCTCTGACGTGTCTGACACTGGAGCATTACACAGTGATGGCAATGATTTAGCGTAGGAACTAAGATGAATCCAAGACAATTTCCCCAAAAGCCTTGTGGCTGGAGCAAAGGGTTTTCGTTCCAGTTGAGCAGTAAGTGCCAGCCCCTTCAGAAAACACTTCTCCAAGAGCCAGGTGAGCCCTTCTCCCAGGAAACCTCCCAGGGCACACCTGAAGATGCTAAATCTGTCTCCTTAAATGCATATGCTCCAAGCTGGTAACTCACATAATCTTCCTGAGAAGATTGGAAAGGTCCTAAAACATGTCCCCATGGAAAAAGGGGCAGCACTGCCTGCTCCTTTTGGAGAACATCAACTCCTCCACTCGTGACTGCTTGTGGTGTCCCCCTGCATCGCCCTAAGCACCGTTTTTCCAAACTGGTACCAGTATTGTTTGAGGTCACAAGATCAGCAGATGATGCCAGTGAAGACTGTCCAAGTACAGAACTCATCTGCAACCCTAGGGCTTGGCAAAAGGCAGATGGATACCGCTGTGACAATCCTGATTTCCCCAGCAGTCTCATGGGAATAAATTTATATCTTTACAACCTAAAGGTCATACAAGCTATATCCAAGGCTTTGCCATCTGATGCTGCTTGATTTAATCAAAAAAAATACTATAAATTACTTTTCCACTGATGAAGGAACACTCAAAGCCAAGAAAACTACACTGCACAGCCATAGGGGGACAATTTCATGAACCCAATACCAGGCAGGCGCCGTTCAAACTTCAGCATCTGTGACCTCAGTTTTCCACTTGAGATTCTGCTGTGGCAAACTTCAGTTTATTTAGAACGGATTGTGTTCCTCATACCCTACCTTCTTCTCTTTCCTTCAACACTTTTATCCACAGATCTGTTAATGTGAATATACAGTCCCAATGCTGCTGGGCCACTTGGGTATCTGCAGACCACAGGTTGAAAAACAGAAAGCCACACTGAAATGGTACCTGATTGGCCCTACCGACCTGTGGAAGTTCAGTCACTGTGTTTAGTACGTTCGGTTTTCACGTTGTCCACTTTTAACGCAAATGCAAATCCAAGCTACCACTTCCAGCTTGGTTTCCTTTCCCTTTCAGGCAAATTAGGGGCTCTGTGATGCTGCCCATAGACCTATTATTTTCCAGCTGTTAGCCATTTAAACCCATTGGCCAATTTTGACCAAGTTTGACCAAGGCATAACCTTAAACGCTGGTATTTTGGCTAAGGAGAGCTCAGCTCCCGTTGCTCTGAGAGGTTTCAGTCCATGAGCAGCCTGATGGCACCAAACCAGTAAAACTGGTAGGAGTGTGGGAGGTTGCTGTGCTCCCTGTGTCCTGGGGAGTGGGTAAGAAATGAGGTGTTCTGGGGGAGGTCCAGTCAGAGGGAAGGAGCTGGGGTAGATACTGGGGCAGGGGTGTGTAGGGGACACAGAATGCGAGTCCATAGGAATCCAGTTTCACTGGTTCTGCTACGCAAGGAGCAAGTTTGCTTATAAGCATAATTTGACCTTGCCTTCATAAGGACGAGTTTCTCTCAAACTTGAGAAGCTTTCTTTTATAAGAAAAATGGAGAGACTTTTCACCAAGGCCTGCAGGGGCAGGACAAGGGGCAAAGTTTTTAAACTGTAAGATGTTAGGTTTAGATTGGACATAAGAAAGAAATTCTTCATGATGAGGGTGGTAAAACACTGGAAGAGGTTGCCCAGAGAAGCTGTGGATGTCCCATGACTGGAAGTGTTCATGGTCAGGTTGGACACCCCATGGCAGGGGGGTTAGTCCTAGATGATCTCTGAAGGTCCTTTCCAACCCAAACCATTCTATGATTCTTCAATGGAAGGAGATTCTCTATCCAAGCAACAGACACACCTGAACCTCATACTGTACCCACCCCATCCTTCAGCTAACCCAGGACTGACATAAACATGAGTTGGCATCACGGAGGTGCTGGGCAGAGCCCTGCCTGCTGTTACTCACCAGCTGGATGGCTATCATTAATACCGTCTTCAGAGTGAATGTCCTATCACAGAGGTCAAATAAATCTTCCAAGCTAGGACCAAGCAGCTCTAGTACCATGGCGTTGTACTTTCCACACGGTCCAAAGTAATACACTTGGGGCAGGCCTTCAGCTGGAAGAATATGAAGAGAATCAAAATCAGTCAATGGGACGACGTTAATACCCTTCCTCCTCCTGTGCGTAAATCTTTTGCTGGGCAGAGCCTTTATTTTAACCTCCTGAGTGTCCTTTCTGTTTGATCTCACCCAGCAAGCAAATAAGTTTCAGCACACACTGTGAATGAACCGAAGGCCAAATCAGTGGAGGCTTTGCTCAGCTACAGCCTTGAACAGACAAATGGATTTCAAAGCAGTAACACGACCACATGAAAGCGTTTAGCTTTGGCAGCTTAAACACTTGGACTTAAAGAACAAGACACAGAGTTCCCTACGTTGCAGTAAGCACCAGGCAGATTACAACCACAAATGTGGGCTGGCACTCATCTGAGCAATTAGGAAGATGATAGCCCTTGCAGAAAATGAGGCATGTCCAAAATAGGGCTGCTTTTTCAACCACGGTAATACATAGCCTTAGTTTTTCAGCACAACCTTACACAAAGTTTGCTCTTATACTGATGAGAAAGGAAAAAAAAAAAAAAGGTTTTCCTTTAAAAAAGAGCAAAGACTTAAATGTTGACCCATCACCACGTAAAAATAAGCAATCATAGTCGTTAAGCATATGTGCCACCCATTTTGCTGTAAGTTGCACACAAAACGCTCAACACCCAACTGGTAGGAGCCAGAGCCCACCCTTCCCACCTAACAGCTCAGCAACAGATTTCTCGGCAAGAGCATGCAATATTTATACCCAGCTGACAGTGGCTTTTTGCGTGGATTGGCTTCCTGAAAGGCACCAGGAGAAAAGGGAAAAAACCAGCCTCAGTGTCTGAACACTCACTGAGCTGCACAGAGCTCCCTGAATCACCCTTTAGTGAAAAAGAAAAATCAGAGCAGCCCATATAGGGCAAATTAATTTTGGGGCTAACTGCAATTTTTTCTACTCGGCGTCTAGCACAGGTGCATGGCATCCTGGCATCAGTATCAAGCTGTGCAACACTTTTTAAAAAAAAAATCTATTTTCAGTCTACATCTCACAAGCAGTTCCAAACCACAATGGCAGGGTTTTTGTTTTGAAATTCGGGGGTTTGTCCTACGTCAAAACAACATCTCTGCTCAAATACACAAAGGCATGACATCCTGCTATTCAGTGTGAAGGCTCGGCACTGGGAGCGCTACTACACACGCAGGCTGAGGTCTGTAAATTATATAGTACAGGACCTCAAAGGACAGTGATTATAAATTTTACGGCATGTTTTAAGTCCTTGTATTTACAGAAGAGATCAGTATTAAAGGTAGCAAAAAACCTCACTAATTATTAGACACCAGAACTAAATTGCATGTGGAACTACGTGGTTTTGTATCTGCTTTGCGGCATGCTCGGGCAGCCCAGCCCAGCGCAGGGAAACACTAAGGCTGGAGCGTGTCAGCCACGTAATAACTTTAAGTCCTTCTACAGATTTCAGAAAGCCTCGTTAATCTGCCCAATGGCACTCATCAAGTTGCCAACAATACAAGAAATGCACCGCTGAGATTAGTAAAGCTTAAATATTACAGAAGTTACACTCCTATGTATTACTAAAAAGGAACAAAACACAGCTTGACAAAGATTGCTGTAGGATGGTTTTAATCTCGTTAGCTCACATGCTTGGGGAATCATATTGGGTATCAGTCATGAGGAGGCATTAATGAGATGTTACAGAGTCTCACAGGAATTCCCAGTCTAACCAGAGTTTTATGTCCTGTGTGAAACACTTAACCCAGCCTGGTCTGGGGAGGCTTCCTGGCTTAGGAAGCACAAAGAGCAATTAAGTCCTCTAAGAAAATAGGGTGGTTTGATGCAGAAGCAATTCAGAAAGCTGAACAATGATGGGATGTGACCCAGGCAGCTCCGAAACATTTTCAAATGTCCCCAAACCAACAGGAATGATAATTTAATGTCTCCAGCTTAGCGCTGAAGGCTTGAATAGCTCTTGAAGTAACTCATGGTCAGCTGTTGAGTTTTCAGTAAAACCCAATGAGGACTTAGCTACATTACCTCCAATACCAAGATCACAATCTCTACTTTTTAAAGAATAACAGAAGAACAACAGAGAGTAACAGAATATTCTATGGGAAGTTTAAAACTGAGACCATTATAAATTCAGGAGATATATATATGTATATATATACACACATATATATACACACACACAGACGCAGAGTGAGTGCTTCTACCACAATTTCTACCTCAGGAAAAGAGTCTTGACAAGTGCAAATCAGGAAGGAAACCACTCGGATTAGGAGTGTGCTAATTAAGGCATACGGGAGAATAAAATTGCAGAAAGGCTCTTAAGGAAGGCAAAGAATCCCATTCCCAGAGCAGGGGGAAAGGAGTCAATTTACAGCCTTACTTGGCTAAGAGAGCGCACTGCAAATAAAATAAAATTCCTACTGGATGTAAGAACCAGGAAGACAAATTGCAGCAAGACTCAAAAGATGGAGAATTCATGTAGGAAAGGAAGCAACGCAGCTATTTAGCGCTCTTTGGGGTCCTAACCCCTTGAGTTACCTTTACCCACTCAAACCCTTACGAGCCAAGAGTACCCCGTGAGCCTGGAGAACCATTCTCAGCTTTAAACCTCAGGAAGGCTCTGGTCTAGGTGGGAGCTCCTGCAAGGTGAAGCTGTGGCAAAGAACATTAAAAAAAAGCATCCTAAGTGCCAGCCTACAGGGGTAGTTACTAGTTTCAGGCATATTTTTAGGGTTTGATTTTTCTCTGAGGGCTTTCAGCAGCACTGCTGCCAGCTCTGCAGTCAAGAGCTTACCTCTTGGCTTTGCTAGAATAAAAATTCTGTAATCTCTTTTTCAGACCCAGGCTGCATCGCTCACACATCCTAGAGCCAAAGGAGCATCGCTGACAAACCCTTCAGAGCCTCCCAGACCAAGGCAGGGCTCCTCAGCTCCACACCGGTAACTGAAATAAAGTTATGAGGTAATGCACCCTCAGCTCGCTCAAACGCAAGCCAATGTTTACCATCATTTTAGGAAGGGGCGAAGCTCAGAAGCGGAGTTGTAAGCTTGATGCAAATATTAAGACTTGATGCCTGCAGGATCCAAGTGGGCAGATGAGGCTCGATGATTTCAGGGTGCTTCTTTGCAAACTTGAGATACAGGCATCTCTGGACCCCTTCTTCTTCAAAGGGACAGCCTGTGAAAAGCTGCATCAAATTTTATTTAATCACAGCCCATCTGCATAATTCAGGATGCAGCTTAGTGCTATTTCAGCAACAAGCAACGTGTCCTGGTCCCACCAAGTCCATTGCCATGGCGAACCACAGGAACTCCACAAATATCATGAAGGCCGCTGCTGACAAAACAGATTGATTAAGGAAAAATTATCTTTTGTCTAGGCAGTTGAACTTGAGGTTTTTAATGGTGAACAATTGTGTCGGCAGAGGACAGAAGAGGTCAAACAAAACCACGGTGCTGTAAAAGTCTGTCCTAGATGAACAGTTCTGGATCCAGAGAGTGCAAGACAAAAAGCCATGGGCAGAGGAGAGGTCTCCTCTTGAGGATTCAAAGGTACAACTCAACACTTGAAATACAAACCATGATCAGTTTAATGCAGTTAATATATGAAATAACATCTAAAAAAGGAATTTCACCATGGCATTAAACACGAGCAACGTATTAAAGCAAGAAAATCCAGGCACGACACGTGCAGGTTCTCCTTTGGAGAAAAAGCAGAAATCATCTGAATTTGCATAATGGCTTCCATCTTGCTGCTGAGTGATTTGGCTTGACTGTATGCAAAAGGGCCCACTCCACCCTCGCTCTCGTGGAAAGTTTATCACCCCAATAAACACAGACTGATCACTGCACTGGAATCCACAGGCATATTCTGCTATTTCAGCAGTGCGATGTCTTGGAAAAAATTCAAGCTGAGCACAGCAAAAACCTAGCATAGCATTTGGGAGATTAAAGCATCGTGGCTGGATCAAGAGCAAAGGCAGATATCAAAGCTGAAAACTCAGATTTTGCTTCTGCCGTGCTCTCGCACAGCCACACAACTCCGGCCTTGGGTTTCCTGAGGTGCTAAAACTCAGGATGCTCCTGCGGGCTGACACCAAAAGGGACCGTCCCATCCTCACTCCACCCTCACCCATTCCACACCTCCCTGCACTCATGTGGCCGAGGAATAAGTTGGATCAACCCCCAGAAAAGCTTGCTGTTTGATTGAGCTTGAATGCAAGACCAGAAACAGTAACAAACAGCGAGACCGCTGCTCTAGGAGAGAACTTCATTTGATTGGGATTCACATCAGGGAATTACACCTTTCGGCAAATTTCCATCTCAAGATCAACTATCCTGGCTGATTCAAGGAGTGCGGTCCTGCTGCCACAGGCTTTACAGCATGACTAACGGCCCTAACAACTCGTCAGACATCCAGCATACTCCAACAAGCCATGTTAGCCCAGGCATCAGATGCACAAGTCATACAGACAGTCCAAAGCTATTTCCAGGACGGGTTATGAAATGGTGACTGGCAGAGAGATGCCAGTCAAAGGTTACGTCCAAGGGAAATCTGATTTTGCAGCATCTGCCCCACGTGGAAGGCATGGAAAGCGGAAACCATCTGCTGTGGCAGAGAGTATGTACTGACGCTCTGTACAAGAGCAGCATGAGAGGCAACGAATAAACCTCGCATAACAGCATAAGCAGCCCAAAATACACCCAAGGAGAGACAAGGTAGCAAGTGGCACTGACATCAGTGGAGGTGCAAAAGCCAAGTCCCCACACATCAAATCACCAGAAGACAACCACAGCCCGTGGAAAGTGAATGATACCGGTGAATTCTGAAGCACCAATTTTTTTTGCTCCCATGGGAAGTTGGTTTCCACTGCCCTTAGATGTGGTGTGGCCAAAGAAAGAGAAGTTGGTATCTTCAATTTCAAGAAGAATTACAGAAGAATTTAATAACCTCCCTTCATGCAGGCTTCAAAGCTGAGCTCTACTGCAAAGGGGAGACACTCCT